GGGGAGGAGGGGGTGAAGGGAGGGCAGAGGTTAGTGGAAAAAATGAGAATCAAGACTTGTCATGTAGAGGTACAAGATCCCAACAATGATTGTAACTGTACTGTATCCCTACAATGTACCAATAAACTCAATTAAAGCTGGAAAAAAAAAAGCTTCTGCACTGCAAAAGAAACCATCACAGAACTAAGAGACAACCTACAATATGGGGAAAACTTTTTAGCAGCTGCTCCTCAGACAAAGAACTATTATCTAGAATATATAAAGAACTAAAAACACTCAGCCCCCTCAAATATAAAGACACAATTCAAAAATGGGCATCTGAAATTAAGAGACATTTCTCAGACAAAGAAATAAAAGCAGCAAGTAAATATATGAAAAAATGCTCCACATCACTGGTCATTTGAGAGATGCAGATGAAAACAACACTGAGATTTCACCTCACCCCACAAAGAATGCCTGCTATCAAGAAATCACATAATAACAAATGTTGGTGGGGATGTGGGGAGAAAGGAACACTTCTCCATTATTGGTGGGAGTGCAGACTGGTGCAACCACTGTGGAAGTCAATATGGAGATACCTCAAAGAACTAGGATTAGAGGTTCCATTTGACCCAGCCATCCCTCTGCTGGGTATCTTTCCAAAAGAATTAAAAGAATCATACCACAGTGATATATGCACACCCATGTTTATAGTGGCACAGTTTTTAATAGCTAAAATTTGGAAACAGCTCATCTGCCCATCAATTGGAAACTGGATAAAGAAGATGTGGGTTTTCTATAAAATGGAATACTACTCAGCCATAAAGAATGAGAAAGTAGATTCATTCATAGGTAAATGGGTACATTTTGAGGATATACTCCTAAGTGAAATAAATAAGTCACACATATGCAAATACCAAATAGTTTCTCTGGTGTGAAAAACTAAAATAGTACTCAAGATCCTAACAGTACAATTAGCAACGTGAAACAGGAAGAAAAGGACCAAAGGTGTAGGGACAGTGAGAATGAGAGGGGAATAAGGGAAAAGGAAAAAATATGAGAAAATGGAATTAAAGTATTTGAAGGTGGAAGGGGAGGAGGGTGTGGAGGGAGAGTGGGCAAAAGGGGAAAAAGTGAGAACCAAGTCCTGGAATGTAAAGGTACAAGATCCCAGTAATGAATGTAACTGTACTGTCTACCTAGAATGTACCAATAAATTCAATTTAATTTTAAAAAAAGAAATAGAATAAAGATAGGGAAGGAGGAAAGAAATCAAACTCATTATTTGCAGATGACATGATACTCTAAATAGAAGACCCACAAGAACTCCACCAAAAGTCTTCTAGAATTAATAAGCAAATTCAATAAAGTAGCTGGATACAAGGTCAACACACAAAAATCAATACCTTTCTGTACATGGAAAACAGACTCACTGAGAGAGAAATGGGGCAATCAATTCCATTCATAATAGTATATAAAAAATTGAAATATTGAGAAATCAACCTAACAAAAGAAATGAAGACTCTACTATGAAAATCACAGCACTATGATAAAATGAGATTGAAGAAGTATCAGAAAGTTGAAAGACATCCTTGGTCCTGGGTAGGAAGAATCAACATAGTGAAAATGGCTATACTTCTAAAACTACTCTATAGATTCAATGCAATCCCAATTGAAATCCCAGCAGCATAATTCACAGATCTTGAGAAAAAAATCCAAAAATTCATTTGGAACAGGAAGAGACCTAGAATAGAAAAGCATTTCTAGGCAATAAAGACAAGGTAGGGGATATCACAATCCCCAACTGGAAACTATACTAAAAAGCTACTGTGATAAAAAAAACAACATGGTGCTGGCAAAGAAACAGACCTGAGGACCAGTGGAACAGATTAGAAGATGTGGAAACAAGTCTAGACACACTCAGCCACCTCATCTTCAAAAAGGAGCCAAGCACCCTCACTGGAGGAAAGATAGCCTCTTTAATAAATGGTGCTGGAAAAACTTTTTTAACTTGCCAAAGATTAAAATAGACCTATATCACTCACCATGCACTAATCTAAAATAAAAATGGATTAAAGATCAAATATTAAAACAGAAACACTAAACTGGCTGGAAGAGAGGTTAGATAGAACTCGTGAAGACATTGGTGTAGGAAAAGATGTTAAGAACAAAAGCTCAGTTACCCATGAACTAGAAGAAATAATCAACACATGGGATCTCTTCTTACTAAAAAGCTTCTGCACAGCAAGATAAATGACCAACAGTGTGAAGAGACAACTCACAATATGGGAAAAATTTTTCATCAGCTCTTCCTCAGATAAAAGTCTATTATTTAGAATATATAAAGAACTTTAAAAAGTCAGACCTCCCAAATTTAAAGACTTAATCCAAAAATGGGCATCTGAAATGAACAGACATTACTCAGACAAAGAAGTAGAAATAGCAAATAAACATATGAAAAAATGTTCAACATCAGTGGTCACTCAAGAAATGCAACTGAAAACAACACTTAGATTCCACCTCACCCCAGAAAGAATGGCTGCTGGGGGGTGGGTGTGGGTAGGCTGTGAGGAAAGTGAAACCCTGCTTTCCTGCTGTTGGGTGTGCAGACTGGTGCAACCACTGTGGAAATCTGTATGGAGATACTTCAAAGAACTAGGATTGGAAGTTCCATTTGTTTTTTTGTTATGTTTTGTTTTATTTTAATATACAGGGGACCCTCATGTTGTGACCCATCAGACATAGGAACAACTTGGGTTAATTAGTTTGTTTATTTATTTATTGGTACTGGTGATTGAACTCAGGTTCTTTAGCTCAGCAAGGCAGGTGGTGGAACCATTGAGCCAAATCCCCGGCCCTGGAAGTTCCATTTGACTGAGCTATTCCCCTGCTGGATATCTTCCCTAAACAATTAAAAGAATCATACAATAGTGATATATATGCACTCAATTCAAGCAACACAATTAGTAATAGCTAAAACTTGGAGTCACCCCTATTGACCATCAAAAGGAGACTGGATAAAGAAAATGTTTTTGTTTTTTTGTTTTATAAAAAGGAGTACTACTCAGCCATAAAGAATGAGAAACTATAGACTTTTATAACTAAATGGATGCACATTGTGGGCCATACTCAAGTGAAATAAATAGGACACACAGGTTTAAATATGGAATAGTTTCTCTGGTATGAAAAACTAAAAGAGCAAAGAAAGATCAAAATGTATAATTGATATTGTGTAATAGGAAGAAAAGTTCTAAAAAAGTAGAGGAATGGGAGTGGTAGGGGAAAAGTAAAAAGGGAAAAGAAAAATATGTGAAAAGGAAAACTATGGAAACAATGTCTTTGTAGATAAGGAGGGAGGGAGGGGTTGAAGGGAGGGCAAGGGAATGTAGAAATGCTAAGAACCAAGACTGACTATGTAAAGGTACAAATTTCCAAAAGTCAGTGTTGTTATATTGCATAGATTAAATGTACCAATAAAATTAATGAAAAAAAGATTTAACCCTGGATTGTATTTTTCATTCCAGCATTAAACTGAATATTAAAACTTGATTGTTCAAGAGGAATTTTAGGATTAAAAATTTATATATGGTGTTGGATTGTATTATATATATGATATTTTATAATATTAAAGTGAATATTTAAAAAATATTTTATAATATTAAAATAAATATTTTAAGCCATCCCAGAAATTGTCCCAAAGGAATTAGTTTGGGAAACCAATGCATCTCACATTGATGCAGGAAATAAGAGTCAGTGTGATGATTTGAGAATTGACTTTCTTACTCAGGAAAAATGATAATTTTCCCTGTAATTACTTATGGTATTTTATAACCACATGCACTGTATGGCGTTTGTATTGTATATAGAAGAAAGTAAGATTTGACTTATTTATTTTTGGTACCAGGGATCAAACTCGGGTCCTTATGCTTGCAAGGCAGGCGGCAGAACCACTGAGCTAAATCCCCTTCCCTGAGATTTGATTTTTAAACTTCTTGTTGAAGTAAAAACATTACATATTCAGAAATGAAAATGTAAAACATATCATTGCAGAAAATTTTGAGAGAATAAACACAGAAAAGAAATATGAATTTTTTAAAATCTCCAAAACTGGAGATATTTTTTACACATAAACACATATTTTCAAAAATGAAATTATATGTACATATGGTTTTATACTTAAAAACTTATCACATGTTTTCCTACACCTTTAAAATCCCAAGCAGCTATAGTTTTTAATTGTATGGCGACATACCATGATTTATTAAATGATTTTCCTATTTGGGGAAATTATTTTTTTCCATCTCATTTCCTTTACAGGGTGATCAATCCTCTGACTGCCTAGAGAGGGGTACAGCAAGGGCTAAAAAAAGACAATAGGAACTTGCTTAATTTCAAAGTATATGGAGGTCCAGGACGTCAATGCTTCGGAGTGGGCAAAGACAAAGACTCTCTGACTTAGCTGTCATTTATTGGGTTCACATAATAATTGGAGGAAGTATCAGGTGACAGGGAGTGGAGTAATCCTATGTGGATGAGGGTTTTATGCTGATGAAGAGCTTAGGTCATGATGTTCTTATATTGAGGAGGACAGTAAGAAGAGCATGCCTATAAGAGTAGGTGGGAAGAATTAGACTGATAAGGAATTTGTCCCTTCCCAAGTGAAACCTTTCTCTTACTAGTTTGTTCTCTGCGGACCAGGAGGTCTTTAGCTGATGTAATCTTGCCCTTGAGTATCACAGAATCATGGGATCATTGAGGTCTCTTTGTAACCAGAGGCAAAACTGGAGTTATATCTTCACATGCTGTAGCCTACCTGTAGGCAGGAAAACTAGGCCTAATCATAATTTAATTGTGAAATGATTCTTTCCCAAAATTACATATAATTCCTCCCTGCAATTGCTCCTAGCTATCAAATCATGTTGTAGTGAGTGACCTTGTGTATAAATGTTTTATACATATCTTTTTAGGAAAATTTCCTACCTACTTTTTTGACACATTTTTGTTTTGCCTCTTTCTTTTAGTCAATAATGTAGGAATGCTGCCAAGCAATGTCCCAAGCCATTTCCTTACTACACCAGATGGAATCCAGGTAAGCCTGAGCTCTTCTGAATATGGTTTCCTCTAGCATAGGAACTGGCCTCTGGAACCACATAATTATGAGGGCTGGAGAAGGAATAATGGGAGGCATATTCTTTATTGTATGGTGCATATTTTGAAATCTCCCTTTATTTTTACCTTAGTAATTGATGTCATAATCAAGGGACATCTTTGCATGACTATTTCTTGAATAAGGACATATTCCCCTTTCTTGCACATCCTAACTTTTCTGTCCATTGTCCTATTTTTGTGGCTCTGCATCTACTTGATAGAAGGGAAATTCTGCTCAACAAATTTATAGCTATGAGTGTACATGGGAACAGTCCAGCTCTTTGGCTTTGTCTGTCCTCCTAATCGAACAAGATTTATTTAACTTTTCTGTGTGTGAGGAAGAAACAGTCATCCTCAGCATCCAAGGGGTTCTAGGACTCCTATGGATACCTAAACCCATCGATGCTCAAGACCCTTAATTAAAATGCATATAACCTTGGCACACCTTCCTGTGTACTTTAGATCACCTGTAGGTTACTTATGTTACCTAATACAATTCAAATGCCATGTAAATAGTTTTTTTACTGTATTATATTTCTAGTACAGATGCAATTTTCAAAAAAATAATTTTGACCCATCCATAGTTGACTGGAGCCTACAGTATGGAGGGCTGGATGTACATGACACAGACTCTTGGATGGGAGGGATTAAAAATTCAGGCAATTTTGCTCAGACCAACAGCTGGCATTGGTGGCCATGAGCAAAGTTTTTGAGCATGTTACAGTCTCCAGAGGCCCTATTTGTAAGTATTCCCCAGAGCCCTGATCTTTGAAGCCAGGAGGTTCTGCCATTTGGAATGAGCTGTTAAGTCTTTCTCTCCCCAGTCCCACAGGTGTCCCAGAGCCCCTTTTTAGCCTTGGGTCTTCTGTGCCAGGTGGCTGGGAAACTGCTGCACACCCTTACCCAACTCCTCTCTGGACTGCATGTCAACCCTGTTGTCTCTGTTTTCCTCACGTTTTCTGCAAGTTTTGTTCCTGTGTCTTTTTTTTGTTCATATCTGTGCTTGTGTCTATGTCTCTGTCTTGGGAGCTTCTAGTTTGCTTGTTTGTTTAACTGTCCTGTATAACCCGATCATACAACCGTTCATATTTCTACCCTCTGTGCTATTGTCTCTTAGACCCACATATGGCAGCCCTTCTTCCTTCAGATGATAATTAAATATGGATGCTCCTCAATTTAGATGGGGCTATCCCAATAAGCCCATCATAAGTTGAAAATATTGTAAGTCAAAAATGCATTTAATACACCTAACCTACTTCCACCTTGCAGAGCAAGCACACTACACACTGCAGCATATCAGCTGTTCCCTTTGTGGTCAGAGGGGTGTCTGTAGCTGCACCTCATTTCTGCTGTCTAGCATTGAGAGCAGGTGTCACCTTGCACATCACTGGCCCTAGAAGAGATTCAAATTCAACATTTAAGGCAAAATTTCTACTGTATTTGCATTGCTTTTGTACTACCACAAAGTCAAGCCACTGTAAGTCAGGAACTCTCTGTATCTTCCTTTAAAAAAAAAAAAACAGGTTCTCTTCCTCCCTACAGGTTCAGGGAACCTTCTCACTGACTTATATTCAAGATCACATATATGTAGAATCATAGAATGAATGCATATGTTTTCCAGTTCTAGTGCATCCCTGGTAAAAAATCAATCAGACTAATTTGCAGGCTAAACAAGAGATGGAACCACTCAGCCATGAGCTTTGGCCTACTTTATGGTTCTTTAGCACTGAATATTTCCCAAAACAATTTCTCTAACAATCAGGCTGATTTTTGGTTGTGATTATTTATTGCAGAGCCTCATCCATTGTAACATCACCTCAGTAGTCAAGGTATGTGATCCATCAATGTGTTAAATGCGCTAAAAGGTAGTAGCTGTTGGAATTTGTCAGCTCAACAGAATTGCCCCTGTCCTGTGGAAGGAAAATCTTTGAAATTGGATGACTTATGACTGCAAAGCCATGTCCTGGCCTTTTGACTATTTTCCACCAAGAAATTTCATTCTTACTATGATCTAAATCCTACTTCTACATTCTGTTTTGTTACACTTTAGAACATGTTAGGCCTGCTGGTGTTGAAACGTATTCAGGATTCCAAGGCAATTTGACATATTTAAGTTTAGTCTTTGTAAATAGGTGAAAATTCACTCTGTTGGGGAAAATGGCAGAAAGCATGGCTTGGGCTTTCTGGACCTTTGTTCAACAAGTATTTGTTTATTTGAAGCCTTAATCCATGATTTTGTTTTCCACTGTTTCAATTACCTGTGATCAACCAGAGTCCAAAAATATTATATGGGAAATTCTGTTTTAAGAGAGAGAGACACCACATTAGCATAACATATTACACTATATTATTATAATTGTTTTATTTATTATGATCCTTTTTTTTGGTACTGGGGACTAAACTCAGGACCTCATGCTTGCCAGGCAGGTGCTATGCTGCTGAACTAGATCCCCAGCCAATCATCCATTATTAATCTCTCATTATGCTTAGTATATCAGTTGAAATTTACCATAGGTGTGTATGAGTAGGAGAGAGCATAGCATTCATAAAGCTTGAAGTACTGTCCTTGATTTCAGGCATCCATTGAAACTTTGGAATGCGTCCCCACTCTGATCCTTCAAGAATATTGCATTCTGATCGAATCTCGACTACTAAGTGCAGTAGTCAGACAGCACCTGGCAATTCAGATAACACCCTGAACTTCAAACTGTGCATTGGTTATTTCATGAGTTTTGTACCCTACCATGTCTTAGGCACAATCCAGTTTCAGGTTCTTTGATTAAGGTCAGCTGAATAATCATTTATAGTGTGACTTCCTCAACACTGTCCTATGCTGTGCCTTTTTGTGAATAAGGAAAAAGCAAACACTTTGGACAATTTAGAAAATGGTGCTGCTTAAGAATGGAGCCAAACAAGGGCCATGACACTTGGTTAGTAGATGTTGCTTTTGGGTGAACACTATGTTTCTCCTTCCTTTGAGGGGATTGAGCCCTCTGTCTCTACCACAGTATATAGCTAGTGAATGAGCCTTGTGCTTTTTGCCTGTACTCACTCCATAGCTGACCACTTTGCTCAGTCTACAAAATTCACAGCTGTATATAGAAGTCCTGTGACCACTCTGGGAGCTGCAGAGCTAGGTAAAATCCAGGATTCCAAGGAGCTGTAGCCATCTAGAGAATAGGACAAAACTCAGTCTGATTCATCTAAATAGTTTAGACTGGCAGGGGAGGAGGACTGATTTCTCAAAGGAAAACCAGGTTGCTGTCAACAGAAGGACAGGAGGGAAGATGTAAGCTGTGCAGACCAAAAAGAAATTATTTTCAGGTGGGTAAATTGGGCTGACAATTACCTTCACCACTGGTTGTTTTCTATAAGCAGGCTGGTATTTTATAGTATCCTGCTTAGTTATTATTGAGTAAACACATTCTTTTTATGCTTTTTAAAGCTCCCAGATGATGTAATTTTAAGTTTTATATCCAACTGATGTCTGCAGCCTTACCACTAAAATCTTTCCCATTATTTTACACATTGATCTTTTAGTTTGGGGCTGTTTGATCATATGGGTTTCCTGAAATGGATTTGACAACCCTCTGATGCCTTTAGCAGAGAAACGCTTTGATTTGTTTTAAAAAAATTGTTTTGTTTGTTGATAGATACTGAGTTCCCTAAGTAACAAAGAAAAGAAATGAAAGGTTAGCTTTTAAATATGCCTTGCCCTAATGAGGCTTACTGGTTGGCAGCATGACTAGTGTCGCTTAATTACTTCAAAGATGCCATCTGGAAATAGTCATATTTCTCTGTCAAGGACAGAGATGGGGGAATGAGTTTGAGGGCAACAGGAAGGTGGGATGAGACTAAATATGGGGTTTTGAGACAGGGACCACCTGCCCAGTCTCTCTAACTGTGATCTGCACCCTACAAGGCTCAGGAGCTCCTGTGGGAGACTTTGAGGACATACTGGTGTCTCGGCAAGATTCAGAGAATGTCCCCAGTGGAGCTGGCAGTGCAGGGACAGAGTGACACAATCTAGTCCCTCACCCTTCTCTTGCCTCCCTCCAAATCCTGTGCTGCAGAGGCAGACCAGGGAGTTCTAAAGAGCCTCACCAAATCCCCCAGAAATAGCATGATCTGGGGGCATGGAGCCAGACCTGGGGATGAGAGTAGTGGTGGAAGTGAGTGTACTGACAAGCTGCTGCAAGGCCCCTGGACAGCCCAGGGAAAAGGGCACAGTGTCTGCTGTCTTCCTTCTTCCATTTTGGCCCTACCCATCTCAAACCTGCCCCTAGGATAAGGTGTAGCTCCAGTTCAGTGTGTGTTAGACACATTTTGGTCCATGACATTGCCTCTTTCTCAGTTCCTAAAATGTATGCCTTGTGATTATTTGGTGCACAGCTCTCTAAATAGAATATCTAGCTCGCAGAACTGTCAGGGAAGACATTGAGGGTGGTAGACTGGAATAGGATAGGACATCACAATGTGGTTGTAATTCCAAGGGACAGGAATAGCCATATGTTCTGTCCCCAGGGCTGTGTCCCAGACCCCTTTGCAGGGTATGTGTGCTGCTACTGTTGAAATGAAGAGATGGGTGTAAGATGCACCTCATCTTCGTTACATCTTCTGCTGGTCCTAGTTCCAGTTTATAGATGAGGGGTGTGCTGGCCGGGCTACTTTTGCCTGTTATTCAAAATAGAGAGTACCTGAGAATCATGCTCTTTATCCCAAAGCCATAAGCCAATTCCCACAACTGCACAATGGCCTCATCTTCCAGAAGTACTTTATGTGGGAAGAAACTAGAACCCTCTGAATAATTTGCTATTTGTCTAGATTGCCTCCTAGAGTTCCATCCCCTCTTAGGTTGCCAGAATGACCTCTATGAGTGTTGCAAAATTTCAAGGAGACCTGAGAAAGTTCAGCTCTCCCCCTAGCTTCCTCCAGTGTGTCCTTCTCCTCAGCCTTTACATTGCTTCTCAGTCCTGGGTCAGGGATTAACTTTGGCCTTCTCTTGTAGATGACACAGCTGGTTCTGAGACACATGGAATCAAGGTAAGATCTATTTCTGAAAAAGTATTGAGCAATACCGCCTTCTGCCCTGGAATGCAGCTAACTAGGTAACTCCTGGGGGACAGGGCTCATGCAGCTGCTGCTTTAACCAGTGATAACAACAAGAATGAAAGTACATACAGCTTACGAAGGAGAAAACATACTGTTCTAGGACAGGCCATCTCTTCAAACAGACCCCGTATTTGGAGGTCAAGTGTAATACACATTGGAGGGAAGAAGAGCAGTTTCAGCGCACATTAACTTACAACAAATTACTCATGTTGAGCACAAAAGAAGCAAGTTGGCCAGAGACCAAGACCATACCTTTGTTATTATGAATGTCAGCGTTTGTCAAAGTGAATGCTCCAACCTATCAGGTTCTTCATTTATTTCATGTTTATATATACCACTTTATTACAATCCTAGTGTAGAAGCTGGTTTTTCTCAGCTGGTAGTCATTAAAAACAAATAGCTGGTAGTTTTAGCTTCCCTAGAGTAATAAAGGGTTTTACATTTGTATTTCTTCACCTCTCCCCTCCCCTCCAAACATCTAACTGGCATTAAAGGTGCTGCATTTCAAAAAGACAAGTAAGTCCCTAGGGACTTATCTGTGTGAGCAACTGATGGACTATGACATTCCACCTGAGATGGGGACATCTGTCCTTCTGTGGGGCATCTTTGTGTGTCCAAAGGGACTTGCAGCTTGTTTAAAACAGAAGTACGCCTTCCCCCTGGAATCTTGTCTGAACTGAGTCGGCCATCTGAATTTTTGCAGGGAGACTTTTCCTAGTAGGATTTGTATTCTGGTAGGGGAAACCTTTGTCCTAGCAGAGCCTCTGTTTCCATTAACAAGCCCTTCATGTCACATGACTGCCAGCTACACTGAATTTAGAGGAGGATCCATCACAGTTCTTAGACACAGAGCACTTAGCTGTATGGATGCCTAGAGAAGGCAGAGTGTGTGGGTATATACAAGTCCCAGTGGTGGATTTCTACCCAAGTGGGGTCAGGCAGTAAAGCAATGGAAACTTTACTTCTTTGCTTTTTAGAGGGAAAGGCCTCATCTTGAACATTTCTTCAGGGGTAGCCCTCCGTCCTTGGCCTCTGTTCTCCCTCTACTCAGCTTCAAAGGTGAGTGATAAGTCATTGAGTTTCTACCTTTTCCCTCTTGTTTCTCCTGGGTGGCATTTCCCTTTGGACCACGTGGCTAGTCGATGGACAAGCTGGCTTGTCTTACAGGACAGATCTAGCCAATCATGGGTCTGAATACAAATTAGCAAAAGGTAGAGCTGGATGCGATGTCGCACACCTGTAATCCCAGCACTGAGGCGGGAAGATCACTGAGAGTTCAAAGCCAGCCTGGGCTATGTAGTGAGTTCAGGCCCCTGTCTCAAAAAAACAAAAATTAAATAAATAAATAAATAAATAAATAATAAATAAATAATGTCCCTTTGGGCAGCAAGATTCCAGACCAGGTACTTTCTAGCCAGGAGCCCATCATGTGTAGCCCTAGTGGCTTCCACGAGATCCTGGAGGACTAGTCTGGTGCTTCCCCTTGCTTGTCATAAAAACAGCCCCAGGAATAGCATGTACCTTACAAGGAGGAGCTTCCTGGTGGGTTAATCACCAGGAAGAGGTCCTAGGCATGTACTTATTTTAAGATTATGATCCTGCTAATCCAGGGTACTTTGCTTAGAAAATGAAGACAAACTGTTGCCTTTTCCACCACTTTCTTTCCCGCTCCCCAGCTTTATTAAAGTATAAATGACAAATAAAAAGTGTACATATTTACAGTGTAGTCTGATATTTTGATCTATGTATACATTGTGGAATGATTAGGTCAAGCTATTAACATACCCTTGACCTCACATTTTTATTTATTTTTTTGTGGTGAGACCATTTAAGATCTACACTCTCAGCAACTTCCAAGTATCAATATACAGTCACCCTGCTGAACAGTAGATCTCCAGAACATCTTCATCCTGCATAACTGAAACAGAGAAAGTGTTCTCTGAACCATGTCTCCTCCATGTCAACCATATCTCTGTGGGATCCTATGAAATCTAACTCAGATAGCTCTGGGGCCTGAGCTGTTTCTCTGTCTCACTCTAGGTTTTTGTACGCACATTTTCCAAGGCACTGCAAGTGGAATACAGAAAGAAAGGAATCATTATCCAGGTGAGGTGCACAGGTGTGTGTCTGTCCTTGGGTCCTTGGGAATGGGAACTCGGGACATTCAGTGCCACTGCCTCCTGCAGTACTGGTTGTGCGTGTGCATTCAGCAGAGAGAGCCTGGGTGATGATCTGTGGGTTCCTGTGAGGTTTCTCTGGCAGCTGCAGCCACCACAATCCTGCCTGCTGGTATGGTTTTTGCTGCCTTTGCTTGTACCCTGATGCTGGGGGAGGAGATAGGGCAGAGATGTGGTTGCACTATAATGCTGCAGACCCTACTGCTACCCAATGGTGCTCCAGGACAGAAATTGGAATCTTGTCTGGCATTTTTTTTTCCCTCTCTGACCCAGATACAGAAGTTGGGCTATTATGGGAGGAATTGTAGGAAAGGAACAAAAGGAAACTGGGCACCTAAACTGTGTTGGAACTAGGGAAGGACTAGTGTCTTACCTAGGGGACTGTGACTCTGTGATGCCTACATTGTGGTTCTTGGACGTTAAGGGGAGAGATGGTCTGTATGGAGATCACCTGGCCCAACCGAAGCAGACCTGGGTTGTCTTTGTCATCCATAGGCTGAAGAGTGTCAGCGATTTTATATATGCTTGATTCAGCCACAAAGAGCTCCATGGTTTCTGGAATCCAGAATTAACAGTATACAGAAGAGTTGTGTTGTATTGTTTTGTTTTTTTTTGTCTGAGACAGAGTTTTATGGTATGCTATTAGAAATTAAAAAGACACACTCAATGGCATATCTTTAAAATTATTGCTGCACATAGTTATTTTCAATGAAAATGTCCAGGTGAAAGTGCCTTACATGGCTGTTACTATAAACTACCAGCTTGTTAAATAGCCAAGTGTGTGTTTTATTTATTTATTTTTTAATTTTTAGGCATTTTGAGACAGGGTCTCACTATGTAGTTGAGACTGACCTGGAACTCACTATGTAGCCGGGGCTGGTCTTGAACTCACAGAGATTCTTCTGCCTCAGCCTCCCGAGTGCTGGGATTACAGGCATGCGCCTCCACACCCGGTGCCAAGTGTATATTAATGGTAGGGATTTGGCCAAAACCATTGTTTTTGAAGCCACATAGGGTATGGCTTATGTCTCAATGTCCCCCCAAAACCTACTGAAGTTATAGGTGGGGCTTTTTCAGAGATGGCTGAATTTAGGGTGTGTGATTGATTCATGGTGCAGTGCTGTAACTAAGGGTGGGTGATTACTAAATCAGTCCACTGATTGGTTTGGCACTGCTCTAATCTGGGTAGCCTGGATACAATATAGGGGCAGAAAGAGTCTTGTCCCTTGCTTGCTTTTCTACCTTCTGCCTACCATGAACTATTTCTCCTCTGTGATGCCCCTCTGCCATGCCACCCTGCCTTGGAGCCAACCAGCTGTGGACTGAAACCTCTACAAACTGTGAGCCAAAATAAACCCTTCCTCCTTTCAACTTTGGGTGTTGGGTATTGTGTCTCAGGAATGAGAGAAAATAATCAAGAAACTGAGTGATTATAACTGCCATGTCACTGTACCACAGTCCCTTATCCTGCACTGCCAAACTACTTCCATCCAGACATGTTCACCATGACTGACAGGAGACATGAGCTCATTGTAGTGACCCAGGCACCCAGTTCTAGAGGACCTCACCTTCACATTTAAGTGCTCTGATCCAGAAATGACACATGGCACTCGTGGTCACACTCACCACAGAGGTTCAGGAAGTGAAGCTCTGTCATGTATCTGAAAGAAAAAGGAAACAGAAATCCTTGGTGACTTCAGAACATGTAGGCCTCCTTTAACCTCCTGCTTCCTAGCCATGTGGCACTTTAGAATGATCTGGGCTGATCATTGTGGGCCACAGGTGCTACAGCTGCCAAGGTGGTGGGTTCCATGAGAACACAGGTAAGGAGGAGGCGGAGCTATGAGAAAGATGCCTCTCCCAGTGCCCTGGAGCCTTGAAGCTGGTCTCGAAGTGTAAGAAGCTTGACCTTTCAAATACCAACTGACTGCTCCAAAAAGACATACTTGGGCTCAGGAATATTTGTTAAATGAATGAAGATATTTGTATCATGAATTTGGTGAGATTTCATCTCAGCTCTGACATTTATCATCTAAATCATCCTGGACAGTGTGCTTAAACTCTGTGAAACTCAGTTTCCCCATTCATAATGAGTTTTACAATAACTCCTTACTTTTCAGGGTTATCAGGAAGATTTAATGCCTATTATACTGGTATATACATTTAAACCGTATTTATTGAATTCCTATCTTGTACATTAAAAAAAAAAAACCTCCTGTAAGAATGAAAATACTTGCTATTTCCCTATCTGAAAATTAGAATTGAGACTGCTTCTGGCATGTCTCAAGGAGCAGCCCTTTGGGATCCTATGAAGAAAAGTGTTAGGCACATTAAATTACAGCATTAATTTCCCTAAGAAACAATGCAGTTGGATTGATTACATTATAAAACAATGTGATTTCTAAGGTGGTGTGAGGAAGAGTAAAGTAAAGAAAACTAGAGTGGATCTTTTTGTCTTTCTAAAGAAGTCAGGTTGTTTGTGTATGAGAAGAAGAAAATAATAAAATCTGATTAAGAATCCTCATGCCAGAGTTGGGGTTTTAGCACAGTGGTGCCACCACCTGCCTCGCAAGTGCAAGGTCCTGAGTTTCATACCCAGCACAAAAAAAAAAAAAAAAAATAAAAAAAAAAAAAAAAAAAAAAAAAAAAAAAAAATCCTCATGCCAGGCCATAGTGTGGTAATAATGCTGGACGTTCAATAGTATATCGTTGTCTGTGTTTCTTGCCATGACAGGAAATATTCTAAATTTGGGCCACTCATGCATTTGAGGGAGACAATGGGAATCTGAAGTCTTAGATTGCTCCAATTTTGATTACATGGATTAGAAGCAAACTTCTGAGATAGGGTTAATATAGAACACCCAGTTAAATTTGAATTTCAGATAAATATCAGTAATTTTTAGCAAAAGCATATCCCGTGCAATACTTGGGATGTAATTGTGCTGACTTTTTTTTTCCTCATTGAGTTTATTGGTACATTTTAGGTATACAGTACAGTTACATTCATTACTGGGATCTTGCACCTTTACATGACAGGTCTTGGTTCTCATTTTTTTCCCCTTGGTTGTTTGTCTGAACTTCATCTTTAATTAAGTGTCCTCTCTATTTGCTGGTAGAGCTCCTGCCCTCTCAGTCACCTGAGTGCTAAGGAGGGCATCAGAGCCCCTGATTCTGTATGGTTAAGCCCTCATCTTGAGAAATCAAACTTTCTGATCCTCGCCTCAATGCTAACAAGGATCCCTGACATTTTTACAGGAAGATAAGAGTAGGGAAATGGAGGGATAAATGGTAAAGTAAATACTAATTTCTCAGTGGCTTCCCTGGGATGGATCACTTCTGTGTTGTGGCTCTATTTTTCATTGTAGGTGCTAACACCATTTGCTGTTTCAACCTCAATGACAAATCATCCAGATACCAGCATGATGATTAAGAGTGCTGATGGATTTGTTAAAGAATCGCTGAATTATGTCATGGCTGGAGATGAAGCCTATGGTTCCCTTGCCCATGAAATCCTGGTAATCATGACTTCTTTTCTCATAGAGAGTGGGCAGGCATCTCAGGCAGGGTTGCTAGCTTTTTCTTGCTTTTGGGACTTTCTTTCATAGTAAAGATGTGAGGCCCAAGGACATAGTATGCAGGTGTAATATGGCCAGTGAAAAGGAATATATAGCTAAGCTAGAGGACAGAGTGCTCAGCCCAGAGATAACCATACACTCCTTGGCTCCCTCACCTCTCCCCTTAGATTGAAAAGCAGCTCTCAGGAGCTCTTGGGTAGGAAATACCAAGACATCTGGAGTTTCCACATGGAGGCTGCTGTCTTCCTTGGCTCTCCACTCCCGTAAATGTTTATCAGCCTTTCAGGGGGAAAAAAGATAAAATTTCTTTTCTTTGTAACATTTGTGATTTTCTTGGAGTAAATTCTCCCAATGGAGCCAATTTTAAGCTACCAAGATGATGTCACTTCCCAAGAATTGGGAGGAGTGCACATAGCCCTTGAGGGAGAGAAAGTCTATATCATATCCCACATACGTTGAGCTCCATTGAATATGGAAATAAGGTACAAGGGTCTATGACCTGAGACTTTCTTGCCACTCCTAGGCTGATTTGAAAAATAAATGCAAACATGAAGTAGGGGAAGACTTGAGTATTATACAAAAAAGGACTCAAACACGTACGTGTCCAGGCAGTGCAGTATCTAGAATGTCAGATAGATCTACATTTACCTGTCATGCCAACTGTCTCCATTGTGTCAGAACCCTTTCTACCATAACGATTTCTCTCTCCCCTCCATCTCTTTTCCCTAGATGCTAGTAGGATTCATTGCTTGATGCAGTGTATTCACTAATCTCCTGGGACTTGCAAACACTTTGACAAGAGACATTGGACTTTCTTAGCACAACCTCTTGTTATTTTTACTGCAGAACCTCAACAATGTGAAGAACTGCCCATTCCATGCACATGATCTTTGTTTTTCTTTCTCAGATCTGGTCTTTCTCTAGATCACTATTTGCTGCATGAAAACTAATAGAGTGTGCAGTGGCCACTTAGGAAATGTGCTCTCAGTCTGTCATGTGGACAAAATGTTCAGGGTATTTAAGAGTTTCCTTTCTCTTGTCCCTGTCACTAAGACGACTTGGGAAAAGAGTCCCCCCCCCATGACTTATGCTTATCCTAATGTGCCTGTCCTCTGATGTCCTTTTCCTTCATCCACCCAGGTGGCTGCTCATTTTGCTGAAATGTATGTCTGTGGAGGGTGAGGGTGTTGAGCCTGTCCTTTGGCTTCACCAGTGGACTTCCTGTCCAGGGAATCCCCAGTTCCTGAGAACTGAAAACCCCCAAGTTTCTATGACATTTTCCCATCCATGTCTTCTGTTCACTCACAGTTGTGGTTCACAAAGGCCTTCTGCCTTTCACCTTTCCACTGTCACCAGTGTGGACCTAAGGGAAGCTGGACTCCCATCTCACCAGGCTGGATAATTTTTTGTGGTGGCATGCCAGGAGGGGAGGAGTATGTCCTCTCCTTGATCTTTAGCATCAGTCTGACTTATTTATCATACTTCCCTATTTTCAACCCAAGCATCCCAGCCCGCAGAATAAGCCTAGCCTGTTCTTGGCATCTGTTCGACTAAAGATATTACAATTTATTACCTAAAGAAATCAAACCCACACATAGCAGGGGACAACTCCTAACAACTTCTCCTTCTTTTTCTCTTTCCATCCATGTCCCTCCATCTCCCGTGCAGAAAAAGCAGAGTCTTTCTGTACAAATTGTCTCAGCCTATCTCCAGGGCTAGTTACCTCCTGTGAATACCTATCTTTCTCTTCTGAAGAACTCTGTGACCTAGTCCTCTAGGATATTGAGGTCCTAACAGAATCTGGAAAATGTGTTCTTGAGACAGTAGCCTGTCTTACCAGTTTGTTGCTACATGTTTTGCTCCATGATCTAATTCTATCATGTTAAAAGTTGAATGTTTTCTTAACCTTTCTCTTTGATTTCTTTAGATAATAAATTGTAATCTCTTCAGTCAAACAGATGCAAAGAACAGGCTAGGAGAAAAAGTTTGTGTGTAGTAAAGCAGGAGAGAAAGGAAAATTAGTTAATCATGAAAATCAATTTGGAACTTGATAGGATTGATAGAAAAGTTGAATCTATAGAGATGGATAAGCACAAAAAATTAGCTGGTTAACAGCAGCCCTTCTATTCTAAAGAGGCAAGACAATGATAGCGTGCCATCTACCCAAGGGAGGTATGGGGCCAGGAGTGAGGAAGAATTGAACTTCTGCCTGTGGAGTCCATGTTGTATGTGGAGGCTTTGTATATGCTTCCTTGATTAAACATTCTAAAAATCTTCCAAGATTAATTTTTTGTTTTCTAAAGGGAAACAGGACTTAATTTCCCTTTACAATCAAGAAAACTGAAGCGCAGAAGTAAATCAGCTGGATCAAGGCCACCCAGCTGGCCATGGTAAAGCTGAGATTTCAGTCTACAGCTCTTCTGTCTAATGCCACAGCCTTTCCTGGTTCCTTCTACATGGCCCTTTTGGTTAGGACAGTTTAAACAAAGAAGGAGATAGAAAGAACAACTCTTTTTTTACAGCATTTTAAAGGGGCTGGAATTTATATTTATTTTTTGTGGCTAATCTCAGTGAGAAATAACATTTAGTTCAAGAAAAAAGCTATAAGGGTTGGGGATTTAGCTTAGGACCCAAGTTAGATTCTCAGTACAAAAAAAAAAAAAAAAAAAAAAAAAAAAAGACAAAAGCTAATGAAAAAACTTGATTTTGATTTTACTGTGAAATAAAAAAAACTCTGCTTGAGAGAAAGTTCTAGAGAAAAAAGTAGTGCTGATTCATTGACACAGCTAGTAGGAAAAGAATTTATCTGTGGTTCCCAGAAGTCATCTCCAATCTCTTGTTTTAGAGTATCTCAGAGGATCTGAGCTAGCTGACGAAGTAGGAATAGCTCTCTACTAAGGAGTTCAAATTTTCTGGCCAAAATCCTGTTTTGTAGAGAGCAAATGATGAAGGAGTGTTGGAGTAATCAGTGTATGGTATGGATGAAATGATGTTTTCTGGAGTCTAGACTCTTTTAGGACACCAGTTCTATACCTACAGCCTGTAATGCATTTCATTAGAGCTTCGCGCCTGAATTTAAAGCTTCTTCTTCCTGTAAGAGTTAATGTTCCAAGTTGTCACATCATATCCTTCTGTGAATGACTTTCATTCATTGGCTCATTCATGCATTCATATAAGTGGCTTAGGCCCTCATTGGGCGAGGAGATGGAAAATCTTTCTGATTCTTTCCTGGAATCTTATTTGAATAGAACTTTGGCAGAAAGAGCATGAAGACACCTTGGAAATGGAGCACCAGGAAAAGCAGATGCTCATTAAGAGAAAGAGATAGCGGGGGGAGGCAGGTAGTATAGATGGAGATTTCTTGATTTAAATTTCTTTAGAGATGATCCTGCCACGGTGTCCAAAAGGGGTTTAAAGGGACTGAACTGGCACTGAGAAAGGCTTGTTTGCTGAGAAAGGGTCACAACCTCCTTTAACTTCAGCAGCTACATACTTATGAGATTTTAGAACGTCATTAAATAATAATTCTTTTTAAAAAATAATAATAATTCTTAAAGATCATGAATATAAACTGTGGTGTTTGAGTTACAGTTTCTTTCCTCAACTTTTCTTCTGTTAAAGGGACGATTTCTGAACCAGACTCCATCTTGGATCTTCTACAGCAAGGCCTTCCAAAGGCGCCTCCTGAATCCCACCCAGAAAATGTAAGGCAGAACATCAGTGTCAGCTGATGTGAGCGGGGTGCTGGAGGCTAGCATTGCCTCTCTTCCTGGCATTCTTCCTGAGCTAACAAGGACCAGAGGCGCTGACTAGAGCCCTTCACCTCACTGAAGCTGGAAGTGGCCACACAGTGCCACAGACATAGGTTTTACAATACAAAATTTTTGTGCCTTTACTCCAGTCTGGAGATCTTTGGGAAATCTGTGGTGTACAAACGTGTTATGCAGTGGGTTTTAAGATTCCACATGTGAGGTGTCTATGGGTAACACTGGAAGAATTTCTATAGGAAACTTATTAAATAAATGTAAGCAGAATTCTATCTCTGATTCTTGGAATTTTGAAAACAATTATATCTAGCAGATATTTTTTGTTTTTTTTTTTAAATTGAGTTTATTGGTACAATCTAGGTATACAATACAGTTACATTCATCCTAGTAGATATTTTAATACTTATGTTATACTTAATCACAAGAAATTATAGAGAATCACTATCACTCTGAGCCAAATTTGAGTCCTTTATTGCTGGCATTCAAGAGCAGCTCATGTTGGAAAAGCTGGAAAAGCTCTTCACGAGGAAAAACGGCTTCCAGGGTTCTTTTAAGTGGCTCTTTTAATTGGACGGGGAACAGGGAGAAGAGGGAGTACAAGTGGAATTTCACAGGAGAAGACCTTTGCTAAATTACTGGGGGTCAGGAGAAGTTTCACACATTTGAGTTGAAACGAAGTATCACAAAGGTGTGGATTATCCTGTTTACAAGGCTGTAAAGATAACATAGTTGCAGATTGTTCTATCAAATGGGATGGTGGAAAGGTAACATTGTGGGATGCTGCAGTCTGTCCTTCCTTAACCGAGGGGACTCCTGGGGGGGGAAGGGGGAGGTGACAACCTGGAATCACTTGACTTTACACAAATGGAGTCAGGTTGGCTATCACAGTTATATAGTTATATATAAAAGCAAAAATTCAGAAGAATGTCTGAGGTTGCTAAACATGGTCTAGGCTTTTGTATTCCTGATACCATGTATGATGGATCCAAAAGATAGATTCCAGGTTCCTGTGTATGGTGAGCAAAGAATTTCAAGTGTACACCCAATGACACAAGAAAAAGCAGCCACATTTATTGAAGTTAACAGGAAGGTGTGCTCAGGTTCGCACCAGAAGAAGCAGAAAGGTGGCATAAATGTGAAAAATGGTGCTGAGAAAGAGGAGGTGAAGATAAATCAGGCTTTCAGATTTAAAAGATATGCACCCTGTCATGAGCCGGTGACGCAGAGCACTGTCCAGCAGTGCCTCAAACCTGAAAGAGCAGCAGGGTGGAGATGGGGCAGAGAGAAAGGAAGGACGCCAACAAGAGTCTG